CCTCCCCGCTCTAGGTGACGGTATATCCTACCCCCCGTCTGACGGTAGATGCCATCCCCCTCTCCGCCTAGCGGTTATTACCAGCGCTCCCTCTCTGATGTAAATAACGCTGACTGCCTGGCGCCCCCGCAAGTCAACCTCTTCACTGCTGCTGCTGTCTGTGTCGTTAAGATGTGAGCCAATGGTAACAAACGTACCAATGCACGAGCCTACTGCGGGCACTTTAACTTTCGAAAATAATATTAAATACTAGGGTAATTGACAAAATGGGGTATACCAGGCGTGTTACGGCACATAATGGGGTTTATTCTTCTTTTCGCGATCCATTGCGCTGTGTGTCGTGTGGCTGCTGGACATCTATCACCTCAGTACATTCTGTGTGTGTGTCGACCATTCGATGGCTACTCTTGCATCGTGTCCGTAAATTATAAATATTCGAATATATATCTCCTTGCGCATGCATGCGTAGTTGCTACTGCTGCTGCTTTATGTACAACAAAAGTAGCCATACATGCGTTGTTCGTGACCCCGCACTTACTAGCGTACCGAGAAATCATTTGGAGTATTTTAGTATTAGTAACATCACAGGTAGCTAGCTGTTCAGCTTGCTTGCAGTTTAGTATCATCGCCGTTTGTGACGACATGGTGCCAAGACACAACAGGCGGCACTTGAAGTTGAAACTTGAAACGAGGGCTTTGGAGTCTGCCTTGTGACGCCCATCGTACCAAGATGACACAAACGCCACGTACTTGAAGCAGCCGTGGGCACACGGCAATCTATTATTCAAGGATCTCCCAGACTCAGGCGTTGGGATATTTTACTCAAGGGTACTGTATTCAGTCACTCGATTTTTTTTTTTTTGAACCATACCCAAGTACACGTATCGTTTGAGTGTATATTTCAACAAAAACCAACCTTTACTGAACCATACCCGGCGTACCCAGGTTTCTACCCGTGTTTCCCAAGTGTTACGCCCGTTTTCCGTTTTGATTTTCCATTTCCTTTCTGTTTCCTTTATTTTTTGTTTGTCTTTTCTCTCTTTTATTCTCGCTTTTTCTGTGCCAGATGGCCTTTTCTCTGCTTGCGTTGTGAAGTACCACGATTGAACCACGGGGGTGTTCCTCTGCGCTCCGGCCCTTGATGGTGACTCCTTGTCTTAGTTGTTGACTCGCGCAGCGCGCACAGGGAGTGGAGGACTCCGGAATGTCTGGCGTTGATTTCTATCGACTTGCGGACCCTTCGGGGCCCATTTATAGGAGTGAGCTTTTTAGGGTAAGTTGATCTATGACCACGGGAATCTGCCGCGTCGAGTGTTAGATCAGGACGGACATAGGAAGGTACTGGATAAAGAGAGATCGGAATGGTTTTTAGTGTGAAGACAACAGCAACAACAACAACCCGACGTACGCGTTTTTTTTTGTACGACTGGCATGACTTGTTTCCGGTTCAAATTCGAGCACCGATTTCGCCATGCACATGACCGTCTTTCACTGCTGTGCTGCAGGCATGTGCCCTTTTGCCCTGTCAGTGCAAGTCAGGGCTGAAATTTCTATGCTGTACGAGTTGTCATGCGGTTTGCGCACAGGCGTACGCCAGATGCCACAACAGGTACAGTATCACTGACGGGTACACGCGAGCGCGAATGAAGAAATACGTATATTGAAAGAGACAAATGCTGGCAGGAGGGGGGGGGTGTACTCATAGTCGTGCATGTCGAAGTCGTGAGACCATTGACCTCGCATCCCTACAAAGCCGGGACGGAGCACGCC